GCTTAAATCAATTTACAGACTAACAGCCGGTTTCTGATTTGAAAGTAGAAATTTTCTACTGCTTATTCTCAATAACCTAAGTTTCTTTTTTAATTTCACAAGTCAAATAGTCCTAGTTTTATCAAACTGCTATCAACTGATCATCAAAAAACTAAAATCGGAAACGAAAACTAAGTGATGTTAGTTTGAGACGTTTAACTTTAAATTCTCAATTAAGAAACAGAGTGTAAAATTTCCTAAATTATTGTAAAGAGATCAGTCTAACATTAACCTACGTTATTTTAAAAGAGCAGTTCTCCAAAAAAATTGTTTGAATGGGGTAATACTCCTTTAACAACGGGATCGTTAATTAAACTCGATAAACTCGCAAATCTTCCAGCGATTCATCATTAACACAAATGAACTTTGTTTTAAAAACATTGAGGAATTTGTTATTAAAATAGCATTTAAAAAGAACATTAAAAAATACGTGATATCAAAAGACAAATAAAAAAATGTGAACCGAGTTTTTTTGTCGATTTTTGTTTTGTTCTAGTGCATTTTTAATTGAATTTTTGTTAATAAGATACTAGAGTGTTCGTCTTGAGTGTTAAGTTAGGTTAGTGAAGATTGTGTTTAGTTTTGTGTGAAATGTGATGTGTTTTGCGCGTGCATACACTGGCATGCAAAAGAGCGTGCTTAGTTGTCTTCAGAGAAGAATTGAACATTTTCAGCATCGACTATCATTAAGATATCGGTAAATAACTAAATTTATGTATTTCGCGGTCCGTTGTAATCTGCGCACAATCGATATAGCGTATGCGCGTTAAAGGGCTGTCAACACTTAGAAATTTAAAATTTTTACTCGATTTTTACACCTCTTCTATTTTTAAATATTTGTCAAATAAAATGAACGTTTGCATGTAACCTAACTTGAAACTTTCGGCTGTGTCGGTCATTTTGTTCCTCCCTGTATTTAGCAAATTTTGCATTCACAATGCTACACTGAAAAATATTCTTAGTATGATTTTTACAAACAAAAGAGGTTTTAAAGCATTTTTCATTAAAGAAATTGATATTTTTTTTAGCAAATATTTAAAAAAGAACTTCAGAATGCTTCTCGCAATAAGCGCTCCACAAAACGAAAAACGCGATGTGATTGATTTATTATATTAGTATCTTTAGCAGAGTTATTTATTGGTTACAAGTCGGGAAGACATTCGACAGATGATACACTATTCAAAATATTATATTTCAATATTATGATAATGACACATACTGTCAGATTGTTTTGGCAACACTACTACTTTCTGTAAGATTTATACACATATTATAATAGACGAATAGAATTGTTGTTCTAAAAAAAACATTTTTTTTATTAGTACAATGTTATTTTGTGTTCCCAAAATGTAGATACAAGAAAGTACTAGGACATCATATTAGTATTATATAGCTGAGTTGCCTGCGTTTAAAAATTAAAGAAGAACTATTTATTAGAAGTAAAAATTTGAAAACGGACCTTCCGTTTTCAAATCAATTCTAGACGCCATTGTCATTAGTTTCTTAGGAAAAAGCTTAAAGGTCTACGTATAATACAACTAACGAGATGTTTTAATTTTTTTTTGTATGTGACATATATACTTGTCAAAATCAAATATGTTGTTTAATTTCTAGCAATCAATAAAAGTCTTAATTTATAAATATATTTTTTCTATATAGGTACATTCTATTTGTATTATCTTTAACAATATATATTTTGTTTAGATACTAAAAAATTTAGATACTAAACAAAATATTTGATTTAAAATTTAAGCTGATATAATTTTGAGAGAAAATGTCATAATTTAATCGGATATTTTTAAGGGTTCCGACCCTGAAGCGTAAATCGGGAACCTTATTACTAAGATTTTGCTGTCTGACAGGCAGACAGACAGCGAAGTCTTTGTAATAGCGTTCCCGTTGTGACAGGCTCGATGCTTAGGCAAATGAATAAAAGACTGACTAAGCTTGAGAACGCGATTTAATAAATGGTAAAAAAAAAACTGTAACAAACAAAAAGGTATATAAAAACAGTTTTTATAGTAACCTAAATACTCATATTAAAATAATCAAATAGAACAATTACATATACATTTTCTTCGGGTTTGATTTGATATAGTACACATTTTTACAACAAATTGCTATTGATTGGAATTAAATATGTATGTATATTTTTCTTCTTCTTTTTTAAATAATGGCTTATCTGCGCATTTCGCACAATTCTGCCAATGTCAAGTAAATAAATTAATTTTTACATGTAAAATGAAAATGAAATGAATAAAAGATGGCGATGATCATAATCTCGTATAGACTGACGTCCGGGATGTCTTCGGTATAATGTCGGGTTAATTTGGCTCTAGGGTCTGTAGCCTCAATGACAGGTTTCTGTGATGTATTTCTTCTTCTTCTTCTTCTTTTATTAATGGCTATCTACACATTTCGCACAATTCTGCCAATGTCAAGTGAATAAATTAATTTCTACATGTAAAATGAAAATGAAACGAATCTTTACTCGGCGAATTTTCACGAACTGACATTCATAAAGAGCATATTGGATTACTCAAAATTTCAAATTACGAAAAGTGAATAATAAAAATACATGATGGCGAAGATTAAATATCAAAGATAAAGTTTGCATGCGGATTCCAAGGTGGAAATAAACGATGTTACGAAGCACCGTTACACCATTTTACCACTTTTACCACACTCTAAAAAAAGAGAATGAGAGAAGAGAGTAAGAAAAAGGTCAAGTACCTTACCGGTTTTCAACAAATCTAAGTTATGAGGAGGCTTAAATAGGTGTCAAAACCATAGTAGGCATAAGATAATCTGGCAGTAGGTATGTGTGTAAATCATAAACGTAGTAATGGGATAATGAGATTATGTTTTATAAAAATCAATTGCTGTAGAGGTGATACAAAGTGTGTCCCAACCGACCAATAAAAACACCGTTCTTCTAGTTAGTAACATAAATTTTTAATAAATAGTACGTAAAATTTAGTTTAAATTCATGAAATGCAAAGCAGCCTTGGGCGAATTTTGATGGATATAATTTCTTTATTACAGCCTTTGGTTACAAAGTGACACACATAAGTATTTATCAATTTTTCTAACTACTATTTCTTTGTTCAAATTCAATTTAGCTGCAGGCGTCCTCTTAAACGTTAAATTGCGCTAAATGTATCACATGCATCGAAGCCCTTAATGTACAAAGCGGCGTTTGGCGGAATGCCTGGCGGGCCGCCAGCATTTATCTGCGGCACAATTAAAATCTTCGTAAGCGCTAAGCGATATTATTTTCGGTTTTACGTTACGAGTCGCATGCGGTTTCCGCGTATTTCAGATGCGAGATGACGTCATGCGTGTAGCATTGAAATGTTTTAAGGCGTGTCGCGTAATAGCTGAAGTTTACATAGTGTAGGTACATTTTTTAAAGATGTTCATAGGTGATTTATTTCGGTTTGCATCGACTATTTTATTTACGTCGCGTAAGCTAACCGCGACTCAAGACTTAAATTTATTATCATGGTCTCCTCCTAAATGTGAGTTCACTAATTTAAACATAATTTATATTTTAATAATGAAATATTATTCATGGTAATATATTAGCATTCAGTCTGTCTTTTGTACCATGCTTGTATTGGTCAGTAAAGTCCAATATATAATAAGATTAAATAAAAGTAAATAGGACCTATAATATTAAGATGATAAATTCATCATTAAGCGCAAAAATTTACCAATTTAAAATCTTCCTATAGAATTCAATTTTGCTATTGATGGAACGTTTTCAAGTCTGCGAGAATCTTAGAACTCAATCTATCTATTACTTATATTTATTTACTTAATTATAGAGAGCGGAGACAACAAATTTAAATTTAAAACATTAAATTCTTTTTGTTACTTATATTTACTTACTTTACTTTAACATAACCAGCGTTGACCCTTGTTTGCATTTCTAAGATAATATACTCTTCATCGTGACCAGAAGTGTTGGCATAGCTGTTTCACTCTTTGATAGCGTGTTAGTTGATGAACTGGTGTGTCCTATTCACCCGTCATAACAGAGTGGACGTCTAACCAGGAAACGAGTGGGTGTGAGAGGATGAAGGTCATGCGGGTCTGAGGACAGACTACTTAATGGACGAGAGTTAGAGACGGCTTCCACTTGTGTTAATACCGCCGTTAATTCCTTAAAAGTCAAACGTACATTACCTAGTACCCGACGGAGACGGTTTGCAATTTTGTGCCCCTCTCTCCACAGGTCCCCATGACGAGCTGAGTCCGTGGGTATGAATTTAAATAAAAGTTAGTATTTCGTGAAACTACCACTTATTAAATAAGGTACGAGTAATAAAATTTCCTTTATTAGGGACATAGCTTAACTATTGCCTATTACACTTTAATTTTAATTTTACACTTACGTATCAATCAATAAAATATTAGTGAATTAATAAAATTATGTTTATTATTTTCGTAAAAGCTGTTTTTGACGTTTTGTTGGACTTCTAAAACTAATATTCTTAATGAAAAATGATTAAAAAATCCACTTGATCCCTGGTACCCTGAGATGGGATTCGAACCCACGACCCATGTATAACATTGTGAATGCGAAATTAATCAAATATAATAATCTAAAACTAATGTTTCTTGCGATTGCGCTTGCGTTAGTATAGTAATTATAACCTACGTTATTGCTACCTTGCACAGGCGCCCGAGTGCGTTGCACCCCTGCACAATGGATAAAGATTTTAAGTATAATTCATATTATAGGAAGGTTTATATGTATAATGTAGGACTTCGCAGGTAAAGCCGCTGGCTGATAGCTAGTTTTATATATTATAAATAATTTTAAAGTAATATATAATCTTGAATCTAAATCATTAGATTTAACTCAAAACCTGAACCATGTTTTTCACTGAAATAGATATGTAGTTATTGTTTATTTAGGCTGCACTCGCGTTTGGTAAATAATAACACTGTAAACAAATATCACACTTATGTTTATTGAAATAAAATACATATTCGAAATGATAAACAAGTCTCGAACACTAATATTGCCATCGAGATTACTTGAGAGATACAATGAAAAATGACTTCACAGAGATAGACCTTACAGAGATGGAAAAATTAATACATTAACAAAATATGCAATACCTGTATTAAAAAAACCACCGAGAAACATCTAGCCACCATCATCATATTTTATCGCCACAGTTGGCGCGGAAAAATGCTTGAAAGTTCTTTAACAAAATAAGTCTTATTATAATGGGATAAAGTCCACAATATAACTTCAGCACTTTTCCGCTTAGATTGCTGAAGATCGTCTGCCCGTACTGAACTGTAATTTCACTGATAACTGACATTCTAGTATTACTGAAATAAAATACAACACGAACTTATTTTTTTTTAATATAATAAATTTTAAGCACCTATGAGTGATGAATGTTTGTGAATGCGTAAATTTATAAGGCAACTTATGGCTAATTAATTATATTATTAGTATTTTATCTATGCTACAGCATACCAAAATCATTTCGTTGCTATGAAAGCCCAAGGAGACGGATCTTTACACCTTGCAAATTAACAAAAACTTATTAGAATTCGCACGATTCGGCTTTTACGATGATTCATATGTTTGTAATATGTTTTAATGTCACACACATTATCTTATGACATAAAACTGTTTTAAATTATCATTTTAGTTTACGGAGCTTATGGAGTTGTTCAGGTTAATTGCATAAAAAGTATACGTTAGTATGGACATGACCACGGAATTCATACTTTAATAAACAAAATATCAAAACGCTTGTGTACTGCAAAATATTGAAACATTTTCTTTTTCATATTAACAATTTACTTTTATAGTAGGTATAAAAACAGTTGCCATGTCATATCCATACTATGATAATAAAAAATAATTACACAAATGTTTCGACATTTCTGTTTTCATTGGGCAAACGAAATCACAGTCCAGTATCTAACACCATTCAAAACTACATAACTCATATTAAACTAACCATGGAAAATAATAAGGAACTGGAATTTCAGGTATTTAAGTTTGACAAATAATTATATTATAATCCTATCTAAAAACCTCGCACAGCAGTCACAAGTGTTTAATATTTACTTAAAATCTAAGACAAAAATGAAATTGCTTCATAAATGTTAGCCCGTTTTTCTTGGTTTTAACACATAAAAGAAACAGTTGATTTATACATATTTTTTGTTGATCCGATACGTTGTCGCTGTGTGTGAAACAATACAGTTCAAGACACTCTACCCTTCATTTGCGATTTGCCTACAAAGAAAAACGGACTTTAAATCACAACACGTTTTATATTCTAACATTACGAAAAGCGTGGTAATTCCAAAATGGAATTAATTGGATTCGAATAAAGAAATAGAACCTACCTAATTTGGTACCACACTTAATACATTGGAGCCATTAGCAAAAAATTACATAACCGTTTATTGCTTTCGTGTGTTGTACAAGGCAGCTTAGGAATTAGTAGATTAACAGCCATTTGGGCAAACGTCCATTAAAATTGTCATTATTTTAAAGCGACATTAACAAATCCAAATAAAAATTCACTACAGCTTAAATGTGTCATTAAACCTTTAATGGACATTTGTGCAACTGACTGTCAAAGAAAATAAGCACGAGGTTTATTGAAGGTGGAACATTACACCGACGATATTTTAGCGTTTACGGGGAACGTTACATTTCCATAGATTTTGACAGTCAAGAAATGGCGGTGATGATTTAATTTGATTATTTTACTTAGTTTATGAACTTAAAAAAGTCCGTATTCACTTACAGTGTGATACAATTAATGCGGCTCACAGATACTTATTATTTTATCGCTTTATTTTATACCTTAGGAAACTTGAAACAAGAGTCATTCTAAATTTTGTTCGTTCAATCATCATCGGAATTGATAGATCTGCTCTGTGCAAAGTTAATGTTGGAGGACCTTGCACCATATTAGTCGAAAGTAACTTAATATATAATCATCAGCGACATCTGTTGACTGTAAAACCATAATCCACAAAACTAACCTGTTCCTAACGTCCCATTTTAGTAACTTAACACTAAGGTAATATTTGTAAAGTATTTTTTTTTTCAGTTTTACAAGTTAGTGACATATATCTTAAAACTGAATCTTATTGAGTTACGCAACTAAATAGAGATGTTGACTACGAAATTAATTAATACAATTTGCAAAGTCATGTTCTTTATTCATGCGCCATTTTTTATTAAAGCAGTAGTTTATATATGAAATATGCAGTAGAGCAAGTATATAAAACGCTATATTTTCAGACACACCTATAATGACCTGTATGATTTAAGCTTTACCTATTTCCATTCACCAAAGTCGTGTAATCACCAACTAGCTTATCTGTATACAATTACAAACAAACCACAAACCTAACAATATGCAACACAAAAAAATCATAATTCGTAAGTATACATAATAAACAACAAAAGACAAATTCATATTTATATTATAAAGTTTCAAAATTTTTTCCGCCACATATTTGATGATTATAAAAAATAAAATTCCATTTCAAAATAAAAAAAAAAGTTAATTTCGCTATTTTAAACAAGTGTTATAAGCCGTATGTTAAAGAAATTCAGGATACCTAAAGTACGGTGCTACAAGTGCTATCAATATTTAATGGGTTGACACAAAGGGAACAATATGCCTTTTGGTGTTTTGCGTTGCAGTGATAAGAACCTACAAATCCCATGCAGATACTTCAAAAATCTAGATAAAAACGACTTTATAAAAAATAATATGCTAGTGTATAGTCAATCTTAACACTCTACCACATTCTTCATATATTTCCCGGACAGATTTTCCATTTATTTCGACGAGTTTATGGAATGATAGAAGAGAGCGATTGCAGGATATCAAGTGGAAAGGTATTTTAGACCTTCAAAAGATTGTTCAATTAAGAGTTAAATGACCTTACCGAAGACTTCGATTAAACTAAAAACATTCAAATCTTCATGGAAAAAATGCATGGTTCAGTTTTGTCGACGTCACAAATCGCCAGATTTTGAATTTTGAGAACAACAAATATTCACGTGTATATTAAATATTTAAAATATTTTCAATTAAGGTCCTCATCCCTATTTAGCAGTCCACAATTTTAAAACGGTTTAAGAATTATATTATTATCATACATTTTCAGACTATCAAACATAAGACATAATGGCATTTACTTTTTATAAATTATTTGCGTCACGAATCATGATTGATAATCTGAAAATGTACACATAGTAATATATAAAAAAAATGCAAATCTAATATCTACCTAATGAATTAACAACCAAAGATTATAAATATTTACACACAACAATTTTATCTCGAATCTTTACTATGGGTCCGTTCGCTTGTACGTATCTTCAAACAAAATTAAAAAAAATACTTAAAAAAAGAAATCCATTCCGTGATATAAGAAACAATAGACATGATAAATGTATTCCTCGAAAATTTCAAGAGTGGTCAACAACAATAACAAATGGCTTTAAAAAACCTGTGAAAAAAAACATATAAACAACAGAATTACAAAATCTAACAACACGAATTAACGCGTGTCTCATTAAATTCGGTGTTTATCTGACGGAAAACACGTGATTGTCGGTTGCGTAACGTCATAACTAATCCAATATATAAAACGACATTAAACCTCGCATACCCGACGTAAGATACGCACTTCCGCGAGATGCTTGACGGATCTTCCGTCCGATTTGCACCGAGCCCAAACCAGAAATATTTCGATACACCCACCGTCGCCATCTTAACTATAATCTAAAATTCTACAATTGCATTTATTTAAACAGCCTAGTTTATTATTAGAATTTTGCCTAATCTAAAATTAGAGTTTAAACTTAGTAGAAAAACTGTTATGTTAATTTTGTACAATGGAAATTGGTATATATCATGTTTATTCTAAAATATTATTGGTTTTTTTGCCGAATTTTAAAAGTGAATTGCTAAATGTAATTGCCTTTTACAAATATTTACAAGTAACTGCATTTATTTAGATTCTAAAATGTAAAACCATAACCTAACTGGCGCCTATAGTGCAATTTCCCACTTTATTGTCAATATATTGCGTTCTGTTATTTTATTTATTTATTTTGAAAATTCAGATATGAAATTAAAGAATGAATCTTAAAGAGTTCTCTAAGCAAGAAGGATAGATTTTATTTTATTAATCACATGATAAAATATTTAAGTGTTAATGGGTAAAACTATTTCAATAATTATTTCTGCTATTCAAATATGATATAACTAAAGTATACCAAGAGTTTGTGGTACAAAGACAAAAACATTCGTGATAAACAATGTAGGGAAATCTCAATGGAAAATAAATAGGACGTCCGCACCAGTTCGGAGGAAGTTTTATTGGAGAAGTGACGTCACAGTTTATACTATGTACTATTAGTCGGAATTGTATCCGGTTTCTTGCATGAGAGGTTGCATGTCCTCTCGTCGCTTATCACTCCTATTCGATATTCTGGTGACACCATCTAGCACCCCTATTTCTGATAATCTGCAAAAAAAAAAAACAGACGAACACAATTAGTCTATCGTCGTTTCTTAGGCACGTTTTGACAATAGGGTATTAGACACTATTAAAAATAAGATGCGTGTTGTGGTCATCTTGTTAGGTAAATATAAAAGTGAAAGGTCACTCACTCTCTCACTCATCATTAAATCTCAGGACCTACAAGTGCTAGGAGTTTCAAACTTTGCATGCGGGTTCTTTTCAGGACGTAGTTGCTCACCAAGACGGGATTTTATGCAATTCAACCCCTTAGGGGGTAAATAGGTACATTAGGGGGTGAAAGTTTTTATGGCATTTTCTCATTTCTGGACTTAAAACTAGATCACACGGGTGAAGACTAGTAACGTAATAAAATATATTTCTTAGAATCTGCAGACAAAATATGTTTAGCTTTAGTAAAATAACAGAAAGAAAAATGCAACATTTCTACGAATTTAATGAACGACAACGCCCTGTGATTGGTTGTCGTCGCAACCAATAACAGGTTCTGTTTACTGGCATGTGACGTCATACATAAACAGGAAGCTGTCATATCAAAACAGTGTTATTAGAGATACGCAAAATTTGTATTTTTAATATGCGATTTGTAGCTCATTTTTATAAACAAAACCAGAGTGGACACAAATATAAAACATAAAATTTAACTTCAATTTCGTAAATAAATACTTGATAAATAGGCTATGTCGCCTTGACATATTAACCGGTGAGTGACGTCACAAATACCACGTGATTATCGCCATTGCACAGAGCAGCGTTTTTAACGCGATTTTGGCTATTTAAACTCTAACAATTATTTTAATAATTGTTTTAAACAATTATTATTAAATTAGTTTTAAACAATTCCGCCAGCGACTTCACCCGCGTGATCTAGTTTTAGGTGCAGAAATAAAAACATCTATAAAAACTTTTATCTTTCAATTCACACATAGAAACAATTAGGAAACGTGCCTTTAAAAACTTAGGTTTCATTAATAGAGTAACTAAACCCTTCAAAGACACTAAAACTTTAAAAATACTTTATTTCTCCTACGTTAGATCTATAATGGACTTTGGATGTGTTGGATGTTTCTTTAATAGACAAAAAAAAAAAAAACTTTATCCCCTAATTTACCCCCAGATTCCCAGATCTCAGATATCGTGATGAGTGAGTGAGTGAGTGACCTTTCGCTATATATATAAATACACTGTTAAACTATTTTTTATAATGCTGGTTTTTAATTATTTGGAAATACAAATTGCATGAAATGGATTTGTTAACAATGAACGAAACGGATTATAACACACAGCAATAGTGATAAATATTACGTTCAATAAAAAAAGTTGATTTTCTAGGTAACAATATTTATGGCAAGACAATATATATAGTCTAATGTCTTACACTTCAGTCTCGTCGTCGTCCGCATGATTGGCGGTGAAGTAAGGATTGGCGGCTGCCGGCCTGAACTTGTATCCGGTCATCACGAAGAAAACGAACGTGGCAGTCTCGCGGAACATCTCGTCAATCCACGAATACTGAAACGGCACTGTTATCTGAAGGGGAAAAGTATAAAGTGAGCTTTCACATTCAATGTTGAGGGTTGTCATTTGCGATGCATATATTGGAATGATTTATGGAAGGCTTCACTCACACACTAGTCGAGTAGAAGTAACACCCGTATTATTAGACAGTTAACGAAAATAAATACATTTTTTATTATTCTGGTGATGTTTAATATATTATTACCGATAATCACACTTTTATGCTTATTATATTTATAATTATGAAAAGACAAATATTTTATACTCGCTGTCAAGTGACTGCAAAGAGCGTGACGTCATGCCCATCTTAAATCATCATCTAAAATCATTGAACCTTAGGCATACACAGAACGATATTGATTTCAGAGGGCCGTGACGTCATAGAAATGCCATGACAGAAGTTGGCGTTAACCCGGAAAATTTTGAAAGCTAAATTTATTTTAAGATTTTAAACGAATGATACATTATATTTCATGTATTTCTATGAAATATATGAAAAAAGTCTACACCCCTATTACTTGATTAAAATCAAATATTTTTAACTAATAAGAATATCAGTTTTTCATCAGTAGTTAATAATAATAGTTGAATACTATGGCCTCGCATGCCGGTTTAAAGGCATCTCTCAATATCAAGATTTGATCCTTTTCTGAAGTTTATTTAATTACATACAATTGTATCTTTTTTGTTTCGCATTTCCATGAGAGATGTGCAGAAAAACAACTTTATTTGGGATCTGAATGATGAATGAATGTAAATGACATTCTGATCTTATATTTTATTTTATTAATTCTACAGATATAATCTAATTTTGGAGTTATAGTCAATGCTGGCTGCTAGTTTTCAAACATTTAGTTTTATCGCGTTCTTTTTTGAGATTTTTTCTTGCTGGTTCATAATTATTCTTCACGATTTGAACCAGCGTTGAGTATTTCAAAGAAATTACTACTGATATTAACATAAATATTGTATTTTTCCTTAGTAACAAACTTAGGTATTTAATACTGATACACAGAGCCATCTTAAAACTATTATTGCACATGGTGGAACCGCCGGATATGTAACGATGAATAGCCAAGCGAGAAATCATGGAGAAACATAACGATTAACAAGGGTGATGTGGCTGATTTTTTTTTTGACGTGGATACGTCTATGTTTTCGTTCTACAGGGGGGTCATTCTGTGAGCAGGAGTATATGCACTAACGCCATCTATTGGCGTAAAAGTGAACTATGCTTGCTCTGCAGGGGGAGGGCCATTCTGTCAGCAGGAGTATATGCACTAACGCCATCTGTTGGCGCTAGTGAATACTTTTTTCATTCAACAAATGAACGCAACGAATATTTATTTATTTAGTGTTTAGTGTCTTCAATTTGTTTATTTATTTTTTTATCAATTACTCATATATCCATTCATACATAGACGTATCCACGCATAAAATATGGCTGTATCAATGATACAGCCAACCAGGGTTTATTTTTATTCGATTTAATAAATTTGCGGCCATCTTTAACCATAAGACGTCGCCGTACCAAATTTTGCGCAGTACCAACTAAAAAATAAATAAATAATAGTGAAACAATAATAAATAACTTGCCTTTAATAATGATATGATGATCCTAGTGAAGTATATGTAACACACCACCATAATGTAGAAGTGCCTGAATAACTTCAACTTGAGCAAGTTTATCGCCGCCTTGCCGTCTGTGCTCGACGCGTCTTGCAAGTGACGTATCGACCTAAATTATTACATACATTACAAAAAAAAACTTTTAGGATGTGCGTTATTTGTGTTACACGTTGTATAACTAAGTAAATTATCATACGAACACATTAAAAAAAAAAAATGTGCTTAAACGACAGGACAAAGGCGATGAAATCGGTCCGAAACGTCCTTAATACAAACGCAACATCCTAAATGAAACCGTATTAAAGTGTTTCATTTATAGTGCACGTGTAAATAGAAGAAATCATTGCCATATCTTTTCCCTTTAGATATCAACGGCTTTTTGGGCATTTTCACAAAATAAATTAATACTTTCACAAATGTTCACAAAATCGAGATTATTTCATTTTATTTTTTGCAATCTGATTCTGGTACACCTATAACAACAGTAGTTAGGCAGGAGACACAAGTTTGTATGAATTTGTGTATCTGCAGTCACTACTGTACTAGTATATACTCACCAGACGACTGGGAACAATATAGCACCGCAGCATATAAGGTCTACTAGTATGAAGATACCACGCCATGCGTTATGTTCGGCGGCACCTTCTTCACTCTCCGCTATTATTATCTCCGCTACGTTCGCCACCACCTAAGATAAGGACCTCTTATTCTTAATGAAAAATACTTTAAAAAATCCATTATAAAATCCGTATTAGGACCACTTATGACCAGTGGTCGGAATTAGATAGAGTTATTCATGTACTTACACTGATTTCATACAGCGAAAGAATAAAGTGGATATGCCTCAAATCCCGAGATTAATTTTAAAGAGCAGAAAAAACCCTAAATTTTTTAAATAAAACGTTATTTACTTTTACACAATTTAAACTACTGCACGACGTTGCCAAACTTACATCAATGAAAGAAAGAAAAAATAAAGAAATCCCGGGAAGGTCCACATTAATATCAACATTTCGATGCAAGTACATAAATAACTCTACCTAATTCCGACCTCTGATTATGACCATTATATCATTGTACACCATGATCGTGCTATGAAAGTTCATGCACGAAAACTAAGATAAGATTTTTAGTGTAATATATTACACTCTCGAATTAGGTTAAGCCTGTAATGATTGTAAAGTTTTAGAAAAAAAAAAACAGCTAAGTGCGAGTCGAAATCACGCACGAAGGGCTCCGTATCGAAAACGAGCAAATAAATCTCATTTTTTGTATGGTAACCACCGTAAATATTTATTATATTCCGTTTTAGTATTTGCCGTTGAAGCGGAAAAATAAATAAATAAATAAATAAATATTTAACAACATCACATACATTGCTCAGATTCCAAGATGAGTAACTAAAGCCCCCGCATTATGGAGTATCTGAGACAACGAAGGTACCACAACACCCAGACCCGAGACAATATAGAAAAGTTCATTTTCTACATTGACCCGACCGGGAATCGAACCCGGGACCTCAGAGATGGCGACACCTTGAAACCGGCGTGCGAACTACTCGGCTACGGAGGTCGTCAATACATAGATAATTTGTGGAAATTTCAACTGCGTAACTTTCACGGTTCATGAGGTACAGCCTGGTGACAGACAGATGGCGAACTCTTAGTAAAGGGGTAAAACTTTGCTCATTATATCTAATTATCCAGTTTACAATCGAATCATATTTTTTGTTTTTAATAGTACGAGATGATATCTACCACATTGCTATGACGGTTATATATTTATAATGATCAATTTACTGGACAGTAAATTTGGAGTCCAAATTACTGGACAGTAATTCAGTATAATGTGAAATTTTCTTTATTATGAGGAATCATAAAATTTTACATACGAAGAAGTAACATACACATGCTATAATTTATGAGGAAAAACAGTTCATATATTTCCACACACTACTACTACTCAATAAAACCGATTCATTTATTATCATTGCACATAAATATTACCTGCAACGGTATAACTATCATGAAGAGTTTCTTGTCTCTGTCAGCGAGGATGTGCTTTATGAAATTCCACCCTGTCCCCACTAGGACTATCGTCACGAACAAAACTGCACCTTTTAACCTAATCAATAAGGTTTTAATTTTAACACAACATATAAAAAATATGAGAATGTCTTAATATTTTTAAAGCTGTTATTATAATGATCAAAGTATCAAAAGGAAATAGTTCCTGGAACAGCGAGCTAATTGTCTGAATTCAAAATCTACCACAATATGTAATATATTAGTTATAGTTCATTCAATAGTTGCAGCCTGAAATTCATGGAGATCTTTCAAATGCCAAATTGAAACGGATTGCGATAGACGTATGTTTGATTGGTTATTTATATAAATAAATATATTTACGACTCACAAATGCGTGATGTAATAGAGGATGGCCCAAGCGGTGACGTGTTCCCCTCTAGTCTGTATGAAGTGGTAGTTGATACCGTGGAAGGCGAGTGACAACGCCTTCAGATACACCAGAACGCACATTATTATGTGAATCCTGCACAAGAATATACAAGAACAGTTTTAATTTCAAAACTAATTAATATAAATAAATAAAAAATGAGTGTTATATATTCTACTCTCGCTCTGTGGAAGTAAGGCGCGATATTTATACCGATTGGTCAGAATTTTTGCCGCGAATTTAGTCGCGGTACATGAGCTGCATTAGTTATCAAATAAATATAAGTTCGAATGAAGAAGTATTTAATGAGAAAAAAAAGGAGAAAGCACTAAAAAGCATCTCACTAAATGCCGACTCTACCAAAAGATGATTTTTGCAGGAAACGAATGGTCCAAAGATAATCATTTTCGTTCCTTTAAATCAACATATAAAAAAACTGAAATCTGCAAATTTAAATTTACAATACGAAAAAGTACAAATAGAATATGAGTAGTTTATTAATTTTGAAAATTATTTAATTTTATCCATAAAAGAAAACCGGAAGGGTTGTCATCGAGAAATCAAAAAAGTACCCTAGCGCAGGGCTTGGAAACCGGTTTATTTTTTGAACCGGTTCGATGTAAGTACATGCGGAACTTTACATAAAAGGTTCAGCTCCTTTGAACAGGTTTTTAAACCAGTTCATTAGAAATACAGTTTTCTTCATTAACCGGTTTAAATATGACTTCAGACAATGATCTCACAAACTTCAGCGCGGTTTTTAAGTGCCTATACTCCTATTTATTACATCCGAACACAGATAAATGATATAATTCGCATTAAAATCGTAAGAACATTGCTTTTTACGAACCAAGCGAATTAACCGGTTTTTATTCCATCCGAATTTCACTCCGCATTTAGTTCCGACCCGGAACGGAACATTATAAGAGAACAGGTTTTACCTAAATAAAAACGGCTTATTCTGAACCGGTTTCAAGCCCTGCCGTAGCGACATCTAATTTGATTTCGGCAACTATTTTTTTTTAAATACTTCCTCATTCGCAAAGGTAATATCAAATCTCAGGTAATACTTCCTTCAACACTATATTAATTTGACGATATACTAGCCTGTATACAGGGTGTTTGCTCGTGCGCAGTATGAAAGTCCAAAATCCAGCGCTCAAAAAGAATATCATTGACATCATACTATAGAGCGCGGGCAGAGGCATCTCTCCCGCCGACAAAAAGTTGTCCCCGTTATTACTTTCATATATCTCAATCTGAAAAAAAATATAAATCAGTATGAAGTTTCAATAACAAACATTTATTCGTTTATATATATATTATAATATATATAGATATATTTAAATTAATATTTATTTTTCCTATTTTTTCAATTATAATTGTACACTCATGAATCAAATGTTATAGCTACTGTAACTCACCCTCCTACACTCACACATTCATTAACATTTTACTCAAAGGGGGCCACCGAAGTCATTTATTTTAAGGTTATTTAATTTAATTTGATTTGATTTAATTTAATTTATACTTTTATATTGTTTTTTTTTATGTATTATCTAATTGTTTTATCAAATTTCCAATTAATTTAACTACCATAATCTTTTAATAGTGATGATATAGACAATGCTGGGAGGGCGCTGTTAGCCGAAAAACAGTAATAAACTAGCTCGGCTACAGACGCTAATCTATTTATAAAATTCGTTAGCCATTGAATTAAGATGTTTAATTTTAAGTATTAATTTTTAATTTACTTTCTTGTATTTTGGCTGTGTTTAAATAAATAAATACTAATTCGTTTTTATTTCATATGAGTTAATGGATAAAAACGTGCATTTTTCACATAGCATGGGTACGGTGAGGTTTGGGATCTGAAGTTTTTTAGTGAAATACAAATTGCGTGCAATGAATTTGTTACCAAACGTCATCCTACTCACGCTGTATGAAACGGACGATAGAGCATAAATCACACATTTCGGCAATTTGTTAATTGTATTATCTCTAAACTTAGTTTTGCATTATAAAGTTTGCTCTAGAGACTGGTAAAACAGCCTCATTTCTATAAATCATAAACAGGCAGTTGCACAAACGTCCATTAAAATTGTCATTATTTTAAAGTGGCACTAACCATACAAATTTGACATTCATTAGATCTTAAAGGCGTTATTAAACCTTAATGGACGTTTGTGCAACTGACCGTTAGTTCATCAGTAGTAAATTTTTCTTGTATATAATAATGAGGGCATAATAATATTTCTCAAATACGGTTTTTTCTTTCAAACAAATTTTAATTATCGCAGGAGATAATACTATGTTGATTGTAATGCTCGATTTGTGTTCCTGTGTAAATTCTTTAATCTGATGATTTTTTGTGCTAGAGACAGACAAGATAGAGCTTTTCTGTGCAGATAATGATAAGGTATGAAGTAATATCTTAATATGGATACGACTCCAAGGACTGAGGCTAAAAAACTGATTGTAGCTAGATATTTTAAAATATCTAACTAATATTTGTTATTATTATATGTTCTGCAGACTCCGATCGTTGTGTACCAGAATCACATTTTTCTATACCGGCTAAAAATACGAACCGTGAAGAGAAGAAAATAAACTAAAGCAAATTTGATTTAGACGTGTAAGCGCAGTTGCATTATTAGCAATAAAGAAATACATAAAACTACTTTTATTTATTCTTGTTAGTTATCGAGTCAGGTAAGATATTATTCGGTTCTTTCTGAGCCGAGTGGTGTCCCGTCAAAAAATTGTATGTTGGTAATATAATAACAGACGTATGTTTGTGCACTAGATACCACGAAGATGGCTCATCTATGACAAAATTTATCGGGTTAAGAAAATGGTCAGGAGTGTGTCCAATGCTATGAGGCAGTTATTGAAAACTGTATATTATATTAAAAATATTACAAGAATCAAGATATCTTTATCTTTTTTACCCCAATTAAAATATCTGATTCTGTTACACCTATGATAACTACAAGTGTAAATCAAAGAAACTGACAAAAGCATTTTGAACGAAGTTAAGCGTATTGTTTCATAGGATTAGAAAACTAATCCGAACCCAAAAAAGGACGTACTAGTAAGATTCCGTACTCGTCTTACAATTTTGACAGGTGAAAAAAAAGAACAATGATGGTTTTTAGTGTTGCGTCTTAAATAATGTTACGATTGCTATATAACTTACAACTGTATTGACAGGTGTGACAGCCGTTTTTCCTGGATGTGGACAGTTGTGAAAGTATAAGTTGTATAAACCTTCTTCTTTCTGTGACGCGACGAGCATCGCGAACTGTGAGAAAAAATATTCATGGTCAAACACTTAGCACCAAAGAAACGTATTCGTATCGAGCACAACTGTCACTTGTTTTGATATGTGCACGGCGCCATCTACATTCATAAGGGAAACTATGTATGATTATTATTCGATATTGTATTTGGTTCTTTTTGGTAACTTTTCTCGTTTAGTACACCATGGTATTTGGGCAAACATTATATCAATATAATGCTTATTATTAATAAAAAGGTACGATCTTTATACGCATCTTTCACTTCCTTAGAGTTCATGGTCCTTTTACTATCTGATAAATATTGTGGCAGTAAATATATTAAACTATGTAAAAGTGCTAGACGGGTTTTCAAGAGCTACTTTTTGATGCAAAAACAGGCTATATTAAAAAGATTTATAGTCAACATTTTTGTTAAAAGAAATGTGATGCTGAACAAATAATGAAAACATGAATGAACTACATAGTCCTAGTTGACAAAACAGAAAATAATGAGACATGTTCATGTATTTTAGTAATGTGTTTTTGTTACTTAATACTAGAGATGTTGCTGAAGCACGAGACAAATAAAGGAGATAGCTTTTATCCGTACCATATCGCATCATAAGTGCACTAATAACAAGAAAACTATGATTTATTTATATATACTTACCACTGGTTTTAATTCTCATTTTTATCGCATTAAAAAGTTGTAACAATTAATTAGCAATTCGCCTGTTTCGGTAAATAATGCATATCCGAAAAATAACGTTCTTGCTGTCATAAAATGATCTAATAAACATCTTCCTTTAGCTACCGTCTTAAGTTCACAAGTGAATAATTATAGTGTAAAATAATTATTAAAAATGGCATTAAATAGTTTTATTTTACCTAATTAAGAAAAAATACATTGCGTATTTTATCAGAAAATGAACAGCATAACGGACACCTAAATATGGAACATCGGTTATATATATGTGGTGTACGTCTCTTTCAGGCAAAACTTACAAAATTCCAAATTTAATTTAGGTTTACTACACAACATACAAAAAGCAGAGTCTATAAATTATGAAATAAACTGAGCTAAATAGCTCTGGCGAAATCCACAAGGGCAACGCCAATAATAAAAAATATGCAGTACTGTCAAGAGGCAAACTCTATATGTAGTACTGTCCAGTGACAAACTCTCGACGTTTATGCCGGTTGATCGATGTATTTGTTACATTTGAGTCGTACTGCTAATTTTGATGAATAAAACTATCGAAGTTATTTACATAGTGACTTTTGTATAGTGACGTATCGCGATTAGTTCAGTTAATCTGAAGTGATTTGCTGTGTAAAGATAGCGACTCTCTTTGGAAAATGGTGACTTTTTTATTTTTTACGAATATCTTAAAAATACGGTTAAATCGTTATAAAATATTGATGGTAGTGATTAAGTTAAATAAAACGTTCGACTAGTTGAGAGTAAATTTAGGTTGATGCAAGTTGGTATGAATAATATAAAAAAGGCATTCTCCTTTGTATGCTCCATGGGTTTATGGAGCGCACTGCTAGAACTACTATTTTAATATCTTTGATGTGGAATTTCTTCTTTCTTTCACAGATAAAGAGAAGCCCTAAATGTATTATACAATAATAATAGATTACTCAAAATCATTCATATTTGATATAATAATAAAGGTCATTCTACTTTGAGTTTGCTAGAAACTTACGCTGGTGTTATAGTAGTCAAATCCATTGCGTGTAGCTTTCGTTATTTGTAAATTCGCATACGAGCATTGAGGTGCTGCATTTACAGATTTAGAGTCCACTGAAAAAAAAAAATACAGAATTATAATTTATAGAAAATTACACAAAAAATAAAGTACCTTTTTGTGACTTTTTTGCTATATCTACTATAATATAGTTTACATATGAAACGAAATTTCATGAATTTATGAATGGTATAGGCTTAACTTGTCCCTTGTTGTGGGGTCAAGGACAATACTAGAGTAGTATTGGAACATTTTTCATACTTGGTTTATAGATACAAAAAAAACTTCTATATATACTAGACAAGGTGTTATGAATTAGATATGTAGAGCGGGTGAGGAAAATTTCTGGAAAAGAATAAGCGGGATGGTAAATCGGAGCATTAGAAATGTCCGACAAATTAGCGAGCTAGAAATATGCGATCACAATAATATACATTTTTAACTTAAACAAATGACTGAGATAGATATTTATAATAATTGTTATTACCAGATCTTTTTCTTCTGTTTATGAACATGTACTGCGACTGCCTTTTTATCCTGTCGATTGGGATCATAGATCTGTTTTGATATAGATGAAGGGCCGACACTTCGCCGTTACATGTGATGTTCAATCTAAAATGTAACAAAGAAATAAAAAAAAAAATGTGCAATGTTATTAAAAACTCTTTGGCCCAATCACTAAGAAATTTAGTTTCTCGACGTTGACTTAAAAATTTTATCATAAAAATAGAATAATCAAATGGAAGCGAAGCATATACAGTTGTTTCATTTATGAAAGTTCATGTGACATCTTTCAAGATGTTTTTTTTTTTTTATAAGACGATGTAAAACACGAAATTTCTGTAATGTTAGAGAAAGGCTGATACAAATAGTTTACACGTACCTCATGTTAGCAAAGTCCAGCTTAAGAAACACGATAGCAGTGTGTTGTGGTGTGATCCCAATACTATCTACATCCTTTAAGAAACATGTGTCCGAATGGGACTCCAGGTAAGGGTTGATAGCGTCGTTCACTGTTCGGTCCAATGTGAAGCCATACTGCGAAGGGAAATTTTTTTACCATATAACCAAACCCACGGCTTTTAATAAATTGATATTTAAAAGAACTTAGCCCATTTAACCGTGACTTTAGTACAATGTAAAAAAAACTAACGTTCAACTAAACTGCAATCAAAACTACATTATATTTCTAAGGGTTCATCATAGTCGAAAAGTGATTTTTTATAGAAAACAACTATAAATAACCTCCTTAAATTCACCATGTTTCTGTATTTTTTAACGTAATTTTACTGTTCTTTTATAGGATAGTTGACAAATATGCGAGTCGATTTGTAATTGAGGCTTCAGGCGTTAATAATAATGGATTACGAGATATTAAACAGAATTAGGTTTGGTGCAAATCAAGATTCATCAAGCGTCTCGCTGAATTATACGTTAGTATGCAACGTATAAACCATTGTACGTGCATTACTGATTGATCATATATTCGCCGGCTATGACGTATCGCGACCGTCGGATATGCGTCGATCCTTGCCGTCTTATTATAGAACAAGGTATATTACCAGGTTGAACCCATTATCCGACCAAAATAAGTCAACCCGTCTCAATCTTCTGCTATGTCAATTTGCTTTAGACGAGCACTAGTTAGTTTAAACTGTAGTGTGATTTAATATTGCATAAAAATTTTTATTCTAAAATTATCCTTCTGAAATTACTTCGAGTTTTTAATTTTATTTAATTCAGAAACATGCCAGGGTTTCGTTTTTTCAATAAATATATTTGGATCAAACTGATAATTTTAATGGTTAATAAATCAATAAACGCTTTAGATCGATAACACGGCCTTTCGTATTACTCTTGTATTTGGTATATTTTATAGTTTCTTTTATGAGTGCAATAAAGTTTATTCTAATCAAAACCCGATAAGTGACAATGGACGCCATTTTGTTCATTATATTTCTGAAAGTAAAGTCTAACGATTTTTCCAAGACAAACTAAACGGGTCGAAGCTTTATAGCGCAGTGGTAGCGTATTCGGTCAGCGATGCGGAAGATAAGCAACTTTCGTGAATATCGCAATAGATGGGTGACCTAAAATTTATTATCTCGAGCTCTTGGATAGCACGTTAAGCTTTGGTCTCGGCTACATCTGTAGTGGTTCTATGGTGCCTATTCTTATTATTTGATTCTATCCATAGGGAAGATCTGCACTTCAGCAGTAGGTAAATTAATAGGTTAATGATAAATTGAATGGTCATTGACTGGACTAATTATAAGACAATAATCAATACAGAATGGCAAGACTGCTGCACAAACAAGACTAAATTCAATTTTCATTTCTGAACTAGTTCATCCCAACGTCCATCTCATTTATTTATTAGGGACATAAACTGTGCATCGCACAATCTATGTCTATTATAAATAATAAACAAAGCTTATACCATAACACACTTTTGCTTACTAGATGAATGCAAAAATAAAATACATAAAAATACAATCCAATATTTACTCATTTTCACTGTCACTTTTAATTTTAATGTAATGTTACAAAGAAAAGAAAAGGCGAATCTAACGAAACGATAAATGTATCAAAACATGATTTTTTATGTGCAATCAGGAATCTGACATGTACATTTGGTATAAATTGGAGGTCCAAATATTATTCGCTTTTTTTTTAAATCACATTTTTCATATTTGCTTTAAAAAGAACTGATGATTTACAGAAAATATCCAAGGAATTGTTATTTTCCTTATTTGTATAGTGGTACAAGTCACATATTCTGTCTAAAGGCGTTTTTACCCATGTTGCAATAACATGTGGGTAAATAAAAAAACTATTATAATAGATTGACAAAGTGGTGGAGATCGATAAGGAATTTTTAGATTTATATTTCATAAAATTTTCGAGTCAGTACATTTTCCGTTTAGGATTCCGTGGAAAAAAAGTTAAGTTTTATATTTCGATGTTTGCTTCAAAAATTCAATTTATTGTGGTAAGTCTATCGTCATAATTTCTTCGTAGTTCTTTACCATGGTACTTGCAAGACAGAGGACGAGTATAAGATCGATGAATCGATTAAATGTGCTGTGAATGTTTTGAAAAAAGGATTCCAAGCTACACTTGAAAATTCTAAAATACTTCTTATAAGAGATTTATATAATTGCAAACTAGTCGTCACTTTTTGGAACATTATCATGTTTCTTTTAATGAATCCTATCATTTTTGCAGCTTTAGTTGTTGTGTGACAAAATTTAATTTATTATCAAGTGTTACGCCTAAGTCTCGACTTTTTTCAAATTGGTCTAGTTTATTATTATTAATGCTCTAGCTAGAGTTAAAAGACAATTTCTTGCGAAAAAAAATTTATAAAAGAACACTTAGCTGCATTTAGGGACATGTTGTATCTTGTACATCACATTGATACAGCGTTTAAGTCATTTTGTAAACTATGAGCATCTTCGGAGTTTTTTTACTTTTTTTAAACAATTTATTTCGTCAGCATAAAGAGAAAATGAAATAAAATGTATACAATTTACTTGTGATTTATAAAAAAAATAAGAATAGCTTAGGGCCTAAAAGTGAGCCCTGAGGCGCTCCTGAGAGTGAATAGTAAGTATTAGATGTATATCCATTTACTACAACATTTTTGAGTCCTACTTGTAAGATTACAAACCAATTATTCAAAGGACCATGGATACCAAACAGTGACAATTCCTGGAGTAAGATGGAATGGTCAAACTTTGTCAAACGCGCTGGTAAAGTCATTATATACCACATCTACTTGTTTTTAATATACTAAATTAGTACAAACAGACCTACGCTTCATGAAACCATTCTGCTTTTATTTTTTATTCTGATTTAATACCTTTTTAGGAAATGGATATAATTCTAGCTTTTCTCCGTTCAACAGGAGAATATCCGTTATGCAATGACAAATTGAATAAGATGTTCAAAGGTGGAGTGAATTCCTTAAAACTCATTCATGTCCATAGGCTGGATGGTGATCAAGAGCGAGTTAGTAATGAAAAACGCCTGTCAAACTGTGTGTATAATTATATATATCCTGAAATATTTTACGTGAACCTAAGGACGGATCGTTAATTTGTGGGCCCTGGGCTAATACTAACCAGGGGCCTATTAATGACTTAAGTAAGTGTAATTTTGTTAAGAAACTGTTTTCAAAAGTACCTAATGTAAAATTACCGTATTATATATTGTTTTTATTGGAGATTTAAGGGGCGAATTTCACTTTAGTAACGAATAATTAATATAAAACAACTAAAAAATTCTAACTAGTAGGTAGTCGTTTATTTACATATCAGGACAAATAGATAAACTTAATTAATTACTCGGCATACTGTAAGCTCAGTAATTAATTTGATCTATGAGGAAAATACATTTACTTATATTAGAATATTCTCAATGTGGTATCAAAATAATGCTTATATTTATTTTAGCATGAGTTCATTGCGATGCTAGTTATTGAATTTTAATCACAGTTGGTACCAAAGTTGTTGAAGTGTAACTAAGAGAATGTATAGTTTAAGACAGGGTTTATCATACTTTCAATTTATGGAACTTTATTTCAAATGATTACAAATCAAGAATACAGAAGAATTAAATGTTTAAATATTTGTATATACTTGTATATATTACAGTCAATAACGCAATAGCACACCAGGATATACAAAATTGTCACATTACTCCAATCGATTTTAGCCTTATTTTTTATACCTAGATTTTAATATCTTGAAAATAGACATAACACAAACACAAATTTTACTGTGAAATATGTATTTTTTGTGGAAGCCTGATTTACTGCCGTGTTTATAAAAGTAAATTACGCAGAAGTACATTTTTTTCTACGGTGCCCGCTTAATGGTTAATGGCTCATGATAAGCCCCGGGAAAACGTTAAGAACTTACAAACAGAGACAATCGCTTGGATAAGTATTAATTTATAATCACCTCTCCTCGTGGAACTGACGAGGGTAGCATGAAGTTGACCATTCGCACATCGAGAATACCTCCTTGGAAGAAGCCGAACGTTGTAAGCTCTACATAGTGTCGTTCATCATCCTGAAATTGAATTAATAAATATTATGAATTAGTAATTTATAATCATTTTCAAGCTGATTCAGACTCTCAAAAGCACATATACACCATCTATCTATATTAATATGATAAAGAGGTAAAGGTCTTAGCTTTGTTAGTCTTTACAAAAATTGCTTTACCTACGGAAAGCTACATTATACGCGGGCATCATATAGGCTATAATTAACGCGGGCGAAATCGTGGGGAAACTACTAGTCGAAAATACTTTAGTTGGAGTCAAGGAAGAAATGCTAAAAGCGAATCGTCGTTGTGTTCAGTTATGGTTCGATGACGTAGTGGTCAGCGTATTCTTTGATGATTGATTCTCAATGATTCTCGACTGACTGAATCTATGCCTTAAAACACATCAACCCATTAGTCCAGAGGTCTTTGTAGATATTAGACATCATAAAATGTAGGTTTTGTGCGGATTATGATCTACTTTCCTTAGTGATTAATTTAATATAATACCAAAGTCCCAGTAATGGAGACATTAATGGGCTGGTAATTATACTAACTAAAAGATGGTCTCAACTATTGCTAAAGAGAATAAAATGTGAGCAGTAAGTAATACTAATATGCACAAATATTAATTATTTAATACTTCTAGTATTTAATATTAATTATAATATTAACAGACACAGCAACATAATACCTTCGCTAAATTGCAAGCTTTTCATAAAGAAGAAGCAGAAATGAATTAACATTTAGAGTGTTTGTAGTATAATAAAACGTTAGGAATTTAATCATCCCCAATACCATAACAGAAACAATTTCAATTAAGTACTCCCATTATAAAGTCAGTGAAAAAAGCAGCCACATTTATTGTTAGAGACAAAAAAGATTAAACTCATCAGAAGTTACATTTTGATCAAACACTAGCTGCCTAAATTTTCTTTTTTGTTTTAGATTTCAATGTCTCTTAGTAGTATTTGGTACTATCAAAAGAAAATATGATCAATAGGATCATAGCAAGACACAGGAACGAGGTGATGCTTCGTTCTAAACAGGTGTATGTTGTAATGTTGGCGCCATAATTGTGTGCATTTTATTATAGCATGACAATTGACTATGCGAAAATTAATTTGTCATCAGCAAATAATAATAATTTTAAATTTTAATGATACATTGTATTGAAAGTACTTCAAAAAACAAATATATCTAATCTAATCAATAAACGAGCATTTGAATGAAATAATAACTGATTTTTTTAAACTTGGATCAGTTCTATTTCATTCAAATTCTTGTTTATTTGGTAAAAATAGCTGTTAAAATTATGTACATATTACATATACATATTATGACATATTCTCTCGAATATATATACAAACGTTAGAGAGCAACAATAATTAATGAAAAACAAGTGTCCAACAAGAATTCTCTATAGTGAACTAAACAATATGCTGTGATTTTTGTTAATTAAACTAGCATTCGCTTCATACATAATGACAATAATTAATAAACTATTTCATTTAATAACAACTATTATCGCAAGCAGTAAGCGTATTTAAATATTTACACTTGCTTACTAACCCATGTCAGTAATATTTAGTCATAACATAACACATAGGTAGGAATTGATAGATAAGACATGACTACTTATGAAAATAAAGATAGTTGCTTTTAGCAAAATGAATGTAAATGGATAGTATAAGATCATATGGATTATTGCACACAAGCTGGAAAAACCATTCTATAGATTCATTTTCATTAAAACTGTCAATTAATAGGTTTTTAAGTTTTAGTTAAGTTAAAGATACGATTGTTTATAATTTTTATAGCTAATGTTTGGGATTCAGGAAATGTTTCAACTGTAAAATGTTGGTATAAACCATCTAAAACATTATAAAAATATAAGTAATATAATACACCAAATAAAATGAAATAAAATAACGCTTGAGCAGTTCGGGTACTTGAATAACTGTTGTTCAGTTTGGTTTATTACACTGGTTATAATAATAATAATAATAAATACTCTTTATTGCACAAACCATATTAAAATTACATTAACAAACATAAATGAATACATGAAAATGTACAAAAGGCGGCCTTATCGCTAGGCAGCGATTTCTTCCAGGCAACCTTGCATTGGATGGAGAAAAAAAAAAAACAAACATTAGATGGCAGATTGTGCATAAAAAAAATTAAAAAAAAAAAAGTACATGGAGACAAACAAAATGCTCAAAACACAAGTGACAACCAATCAATGATTCTTAATTTTTCTATTACTGTTCAGTGGAGTATTTTTTAGAGGGGCATGACTGCAGTCAAGTCTGCAGACATACCCACTAGACTTCACTACTATTTGTGTAATGACCGCGACGGTCCACACGAGTAAACATACACAGACCTATAATAACAAGATCCTGCAGACATGACATGTATATCTAGTGAATTCCCTGCTTTTATCCCCAACCTCAAAGGTTTCTACAAATATTCCGAGAAAATACAAATATTTCTATTAATAAGTAATGGTTAATATGTTGCATTGAATGAGATTATTGAGGAGCTGAAGCATAATGATTAATCTGTTTCAGACTCCATAAGTAAGTTTCCCCTTAAAAATTGTAATGCTAAAGTGACTGATGAAATTTCTGCAGTTGAAAATCTAGTGTATGAATCAAATATGAAAGCAAAAACTGAAGTCAGCGAATCATCGTCAGGTTCCAATATGAGTGAAGATGATAACAAAGTTTCGCTTATTGAATCAAAAGGCCTACTCTGTATATCCAAAAACGAAAATTCGTCTATTTTCGAAACCCTAATACGACCCTAAAGAAACACATTTTTCTATAATTAATAATGAAACATAGGTAGGAGCCTGACACTGCTTCTGATGCACAGATAATATTGACGTATATGATTTAAAAAAAAAATGTAAAAACATAATTTTTGTTTGTATACAGAGTAGCCCCTCAAGCAAGCTAAGACGGCAGAACTCTGCTGGTGTAAATGCACAGCCAGCCAGTCAGTCAGTAAGGCGTTTATTCATGGTAAATAGATAAAATTGGTCTCTGGAACTTTGGGTGAGAGTTACACTTCTTGGATATATCAACTAGAATTATTGTCTGGTTTCAATCACATTGAGGTTATATTAATAAAAACCAGAGTTTAATTCCATACATTAGACAACTTTTAATTGACAAGCATAATCTTGCTAAATTAACACAATATGTGATTACACTAAAATGTTTATTTATTTATTAACTAAAAGCATGCCAGCATCGTAAATACAAAAATAATTTAGTTAATGTTTTAAATGACTCTTATCTAGCATTTATGACAGTTACAGACATGCACAGCATTGTTACAATTAAGATATTTAATATGCATTTACAATACAATCATAAGATATTGGAGTTCATTAATAAATTATCCTGCAAAAATATAAAAGTGATACACAATAAAAAAATTTTTTCAAAAGTCAATTTTTATATATCAGTTGTGAAAATAACCAGTTTATATGTTATAATTAAATTAGTTCTTTACTTTAATGTCAAATAGTAGGTCATTATATTTTATCATTATTTAGTTGAAATCAGTCATGAAAGATATCGAGGTCATAAATGTTTAGTTAAAATAATATTAAGCATTTGTTTGCATACATGACAAAATATATGTATCTTTATTGTTGTATAAAAAGTAGCTTATAAGGAAATAAACGGTATAAAGCACAGAATTTTGGTGAAATCCACAACGGTAATATCCATAATAAAAAGGGAAAAAGAATTAACTGATTTGAAAGTCAAATTAAATGTGGAATAATCTGTAGATTTGTTTATGTCTTTTACCAGGAATTCTATTTATAGGAAAAAATCCATGGAAAAGTTATTTTAGGTTTAAAGCCAAGTTACTTTTATTATGTTTAAAATCATTTATATTTTACACAAATAAACTTAATATAATTATAATGGAAGATAAAATAGTACATAAATATCTAATAAAGAAAAATTTCCAAAGTACTACAAGTTCACATATTTAAATAGAAGGGAAATATTTCAAGTTTTTGAAACCCACCAATCCACAATGTGTCTCTGTTGGTAGTCCTGTGATTTATCTGTATCAGACCATTTAATGATCAATCTGGCACCAAGTCAATCCATGATCTTGATCAGATTTATATTGAAATGGATAAAATTTATAATTCTTCTGATAATTTGAAATTTGTCAGCAAATCATATTTTGATCAGGTCATAATCCAGATAGATCAATCGGTCTGATATATTTTTAAGATCCTGCAGATGCATGGTTCTCGAGAACCTTAACCATATAATGAAGTATAAAATTTTATATCTGGTTTGGTAAAGTTAAGGAAAGGGCTTTTTGTTGTATTAGGTCAGGGTATATTTTATTTCGAATAATTTGTAATAATTCACTAAAATTTAGATGAGATTATTCAATATTTATTTATTTGCTATTAAATAGATATATTCTCTCGCACGAGCTCTAAATGAAAAGGTTTAAAGCATTTGCTGAATGTTATAACAAGTGACAATTATTGTTTGTTAACAGACAACCAGCTATACAAACAATTAACGTGAGCAGATTCCTTGAATTGCTAAAACTAACATTTTAAGTAAGTTATTCATGATACCTTAATATAATTTGTCTCCCATATGCTTGTGGAATTTAATAAATTTATGAGTTTACACAATTTACTTACCAAGAGTAATAACTTGTGTATCCTTCCCGTCACTGAAGCAATTGTAAGAATTAAATAAATTACAGTTTTTAGCACTACACGAATCATGTCTCATGACTATATAAAAATCCTATGAAGTAGCAATTTATTATTATAATTAAGAGGTAGAAAAATCTAAATACATTTCACATTCGTTTCGTTCGTACTTCAAAGCAAGCAACCATAAAGTAACTTCTGTCAAAGAGTAATTAACAAAGAGTAAAATTAGTGCTTCCAACTCGATTCATAGTACGTAATGTGTTAGATGACATTAAAAAAAAAATAAAGATAGCTAACGATATCCAAAAAATAGTGCTATACATATTTTTTCACTTAAGCAAAAAAGTTAAAAACAACTACTTACGTATTTATTTTTTTAATTATAAAAATATAACATAAAGCCATTTTTCATCAGTGTTAGGATCTTCTGAAACGGATTTTTTTCATGTCGGATCGTGCGTGGGACAATGTAAGATTGAAATATCCTGATTTCTAATTTATTTTTTACCGTAGAGACGTCGTTCGTCTTTCTAATCATTTTTAAATCTCTCCGCATTACATTTTCTTAGACCTTACATATAAAATCTTAGTGTGAGCAGAAAATAAATAAAAAATACTAAATAGTGAAAAATTTGGTGTCAGGTGCTAAAAGTCGAATTTCGGTGCTATCAAGTATCAAGTTTCCGATGAAGTCAGAAGGGGATCATAGGAACTAAATGATAAAATAACACAACTGCATCGTGTTTGGGCTCGCTAGTTCCGTCTTTATGAGGACTTTGGTACTGGACGCTTTCCAAATCAAGGTCTGGCGATGACCGATCCGGCTCTATCCGGGATTCTTTTTCAGTTACTGAGTACTGGGCTTAGCGAGAGGGTGGTACTGAGGGTATGGAGGGTAGACCAACTGCACTGAACCAAGGCTCGCTGCAGTTAGAGAGCCACCTTCTTGTCTTTTGTCTAGGTCGATGATGTTAAGCCTCATTTCCCTTTGGTATAAAAAGAAATGTCTGCTGATGATGATGTCGGAAGGTGGTCATAGAAAGGTTTACCCTTAAATTGTTTATGTCCGTTTTATGTGACGTGTTATAAAAACGCACATAAATGTGATTAGAATTAACGCGCGCAACTACCACTTGATACTTCGCGTATTAAAGGCTATCCTTGTTGCACTCATGCATAATAATCTCTCTTTCGCTCGATGCGTGTGCTGCAGCGATCATTTGAAATTTTGCAACGGCCGAGTAATTTTGCACTGATCGAAAAAAAAAATATTATGTAAGTATGTCTTTGTTTAATATGCTTTTTGTGTTTAATTTGGTTAGAATAATGATATACCAATAATCTTTAATAGTTTTTGTTACATTAGTATTTGTATTTCTCTTTCAATCTCAATATAAATCTTAATGTCACTTACGAGGGTCAAACTGAAAGTTCTTAGAACTGGCCACTTATAAACAATATAATAAAAAAATAATTCTAAAATTTGAAAATATAACTCTTTGCCAATATTACTGAGTATATATTTCATTCATTTGTCATTTGTTTTACGATTTGGCGGCAAATTGAAAATTGTCTGTGTCACGTCATCATGAATTTAACACGAGAAAATTTTCGTGCAATGATTTTTTATGACTTTCGATGTCATTTAAGTCAACAAGAAAGTTATGATAGACTACGATTGGCCTTTCACGATGAAGCCCCATCTCGTGCGACTGTTTACAACTGGTTTAATGAGTTTAAACGTGGTCGTACTAATCTCACTGATGATTTACGTGAGGGACGGCCTTCTACGGCGACGACTGAAGATAACATCTGTGTTGTGCGGCGTATGATAGAGACTGACAAAAGAGTGACCTATCAACAGATTCGGACAAGCTTAGGCATCGGTATGAGTCAAGTGCACAAAATCCTCCACGAACATTTAGCGGTCAGGAAGCTTTGCGCCCGGTGGATACCTCATAATTTGACTGAGGCTCAAAAACTCCATCGTGTGGATTGGTGTCGTAAAATGATTGAAAGATTTAACGGAGGTGACTCAAATGCTGTGTTCGACATACTAACAGGTGACTAAAGCTGGATTTACTGTTATGATCCTAAAACCAAAAGACAATCTGCTCAGTGGGTGTTTCCTTTCGAGGAGTTGCCAACTAAAGTGAAGAGAGATCGAAGTGCGGGAAAAAAAATGGTGGCCTCGTTCTTTGGAAGGATAGGTCATTTTGCAACAATTGTGTTAGAGGATCAAAAAACAGTTTCTGCAGAATGGTACACTACCAATTGTTTGCCACTTGTCTTGGAAAAAGTTCGAGAGAAACGACCTCGCAGTAGGATCCTCCTTCACCACGACAACGCCTCGTCGCACACCGCCAAGCGAACGATCGACTATTTGGCGACATCAAACGTTGAATTACTGGGTCACCCGCCGTATAGCCCCGACTTCGCGCCTTGTGATTTTTATTTATTTCCAAAAATTAAAGAAAAACTTAAAGGAATGCGGTTTATGAATGCTGAAGAAGCGGTGGCTGCGTATCGCGATGCCATTGAAGAGACCCCTAAGGACGAGTGGGCAAAGTGCTTTTCCCAGTGGTTCCATCGCATGCAGCGGTGTATTGACGTGAATGGACAATATTTTGAAAAGATATAATAAAACTAATAACTGGCTAATGTAATCAGTTTTTGATTTTCTAAGAACTTTCAGTTTGACCCTCGTATAACGGACATTGCCATTTAGTCTCACTAGGAGTAACTTTAATGTTTGTCTCTTGTAACGGATATCGCCACTTTTCCTCGAAAATAGTAACTTTTATATTGTCTTTTATAACGGACAATGCCAGTTAGTAAAATTTAAGTTACCTGTTTTCATTATATCATGATATAATATTTTATAACGAGATAAAATGCGTATAGTAAGAGTTTTAGTATTGGCTATATTCATTTCAGTAACATGGTGAGGAGGGGTTGGCGGTCTAGGCATATTCTTGCATTATTACCTTCTCCCGATTCTGAAGATTCAGAGGTTGAATCTGACGATGATGAAGAGGGAAGAATACTAGCGCGTGAATACTTTAAGAATAACTACAATGGCTCTCACACTTCTTCGCCAGTTAGAAGTATTTCGCCAGCTATATATGATCTTATGCGGGATCTCAGTGACGGTGAAGAATCAGATGACCACGTCAAACAACATCAGCATCATCCTCATTTGTATATACATCTCAAGTTTTATCACCTTGTATTGTACCGGAAACACCAGATACAACTTCTGTAAGATCTCCACTTACACCAAGTACAGTCACAACACGTCGCCGTACCAAACAATTCACTAATATTGAGTCGTCCCTTATGCCACTTCTACCTACAATATAATTCAATATAATTATGGGAATTGTAAAGATGCCAGCGATTGAAGATTACTGGATTAATTATTTTAGATTTGAGCCAATTGCGTCTTCTATGGGGATAAAACGTTACAGATCTATTAAACGTTGTTTACATTTTTGTGATAATATTAATGTAGACAAGAATGACAGCTATTGCAAGGTATCTGCTGTGATGGAACATATCCGGCAGCGGTGCCTCAAAGTGGAAGAAGAGAGATAATTTGCTGTTAATGAAATGATTATACCGTAGAAAGGCAGAAAAGCTGGCAATCGCAAGCAATATAATCCCAAAAAACCCCATAAATGGGGTTTTAAATTCTTGGTTCGAGCTGGCACCTCAGGGATGGTGTATGATTTTTTTGCCAATGATGGGGCAAATACTTTTCAACAATTTGATTTACTAGAATGGGAACAAAATTATCTCGGCGTTGGGGCAAAACAGTTGTCAGACTATGCAAAACTATATCCAACCCGATTCTTTCCACGGTTTATTTCGACAACTGTTTTACTTCTTCGGAGTTACTTTATTATATACGTAACGAGATGGGATTACTATCTTTGGGCACAATCCAGAAGGACAGACTGCGCAATTGTCGCCTAAGTAGTGACAAAGATATAAAAAAGAAAGGTCGTGGGACATTTGAGGTTGTATGTGATAATGCGAAGAGATTGGCTGTTACAAAGTGGGTAGATTCACAATATATCCACATTGCCAGTTCTTTCTGTGCCCAAGATCCGATCGGAACAATAGAAAGATACGACAAAAAAGAGATCTTTATTTATCCCTAAATTACACATATTTTTATAAAGTCTTAAAAAATCTTTAGGAAAAGGTACTGCCAATTTAAGGGTTAAAACAAGCTTTTGTTTGTGCGCACTAAAACGTAGATAAATAAATATATTCTAAACATTAAAAAAACTTATAATCAAACTTAATATAAAAAAAAATGATAAATGTAATAGGTCTCATAACCAACTAAAGTTTCAAAACTCTTTCCATGTCTCATTAAATAAAAATTAACTTTATTGTGGATTATGAAACAGATATTTATTGGACTATGTTATATAATCATAACTTTTATTTTTGAAAAGTAATGATTATATAACACTGTCCATATCATATCCGACCGAAGATGCGTCGCGTATCGTCGGAATATCAGTTCACTTTTAAACTATCTTATTAAATACGTATAGTACCGGGTATAAGTCTGCACCGACTATTCGGCCGGGTTGCACCTGCCGTGGTCACGACGATACAGGAGCAGCGAGTATATACCTCTGCATCCGAGGATGAACCTTCTTAAACCCTCAGATTTTTCATCCAACTACCGTCACAAACAACACTAACTGCGTCCCTGTTCCGCGCAAGAGCCGTATTCTGAGAGTAAGAGGTTGCGTTTTAACAAATACTGGATTCCATGCTTGTGACATTTTATACCCGTCTTCCCGATTGAAGGTATTTCTTAATTTCAATCGCTTCACGCACTACTCTTGAATAAAACTGGCGATCTGTGGAAAGGACTCGCGTACGGTAAAACTCGATCCAGTGGGTGTTCCGCAATGGCAGTCTTACTCGACTGACGGTTTTTGACAGTTGCTATGTGTTCTTTAACCCTTTCCTCGATGGATCTCTTGGTTTGACCTATATAGGAACCACCACATCTGCAGTTGAACAGCTATTCTGTAATAACATCAGCCTCGTACATGACGAAGAATAGAACGCTGTCATGTCATAAAACCTACTTCAAATGGATTCGAGAGATTCGATGAATCAAAAGCTTTATTAGCTTTTGATTCATCGAATCTCT